GAAATATCCACACTCAATGGAAGATTTAAAAATAACTCTCTCAGGACTTCCCTTGTGACACCGTGGTTAAGAATCCACCTGCCAATGCAGGGGATATGGGTTCGATTCCTGGTCCGGGAAGATCCCTCATGCCACAGAGCAACTAAGCCCGTGCGCCACAACTACTGAGCTTGCGCTCTAGAGTCCACGAGCCACAGCGACTGAGCCCGCGTGCCACAACTACTGAAGCCTGTGGGCCTAGAGCCCATGCTCTGCAACAAGAGAAGCCACCACAATGAGAAGCCCACGCACCGCAACGAAGAGTAGCCCCTGCTCGCCACAACTAGAGAAAGCCCGTGTGCAGCAACGAAGACCCAATGCAGCCAAAAAAACAAAACAAAACAAAACAAAACAAAAACAAAAACAAAAAACTCTCTCAGTAAATGTTGGAAAATGCAGCCAAAAGGCAATTTATGATACATGGAAAATTTGAGCAGCACATGATCTAACTGACATTTCTTAAACATTTATCTAAACTTTCATCCCTTCTTTGTATGACATAAAATAAGGAAGAAATGCTAGGCTAAAAAGCTGACCTCGAGGGGTATAAGAGGATTGAGGCCTTTCAGACTTTCTCTGACTGTATTTCAATTTAGTTAGAAATCAGTAACAAAAACATAATTAGGAAACACAATGAATTTGTAAATAATACTTTTTTAAAACTTCTAAGCACCTCATAATTCAAAGAGGAAATCATGGCTGAAATTAGAAAATAAATAGAACTGAAAAAAGATGAAAACACAATATACCAAAAGTTGTTAAATTCCACTAAAGTGGTATGAAGAGGAGATTTATATAGTTAGAAAAAAAGAAAAACTGAGGATTCCTGAGCTAAGCATTAATTTAAGAAGTTATAGGAAGAACATCAGGATAAACCTGAGGAAAGTAGAGGGAAAGAAAGATATGAGCAGAAATGAATGAAACAGAAAACAAGTATACAATGGATAAGATCAACAAAACTCACAACTGATTCTTTGATAAGTCTCTAACAGATTATCAAGAAAGATGTGTACAGATGCATCAGAGTTTAAATAGATAATAAAATATTATGAACAAGTTTGTCAGTAAATTTGAAAACTTAGATAAAATGGGTAAATTTCTAATAAAATACAAATTGATAACACTTGCTCAAGAAGAACTAGAAAACCTGAATATCCTTTATCCCTAAAAGAAAATAAATAGTTTAAAGTCTTCTGACAAAGAAAACAGAAGGCCCAGTCGGCATCTTAGGTGAGTTTTACCAAACTTTCAAGAATAATTTATGCATGAAATAGAATAGAATAGAAAAAATAGAGGGCACTTCCTAAACCTGGTGAAAGGCACAACTATAAAATTTTAGAGAACAATATAGGAGCATATCTCCATAACCTTAAAAAAAATGAATGGGAAAGATTTCTTAAACAACACACAAAATGTGCTCCGTTATAATGGAGAAAGTCACTAAAAATTCACCTATGTTAAAACGAAGAATTTAGATCAGTGTTATCACTTCAGAAAATGTGTTGACATTACCTCATAAACTTAAACACACATTTATTCCTTGAACCTGAAAATTCACTCCTATGTATGTACCCTTAAAAGACTTGAGAGCATCAGAAGACATATATAAAACTGTGTATAGAGACAGTTCAAATCACTGAAACTATAAACAACCCAAATGCCTTAATTGCAGTAACATAAATATATAAAGTGGCATAATCTTACAGAGGAATATTATACAGCAGCTAAAAGGAACACACCACTCCACGTGCATCCACATGGGAGGGTCTCAAAGGTGTACTGTGGACATAAGAAGCAAATCAGACAACTTCGTTCAGGATGGTTGCATATACATAAAGCTTAAAAGCAGGCAAAACTAAAAAGCCAATTGGGATGTACACAGGTCACATTTTTTAAAAAATGATTTCTGACTGCATCTTTATCAAGAACAGTATTTCTTTTATTTTCTTTTAATAAATTTATTTATTTTTGGCTGTGTTTGGGTCTTTGTTGCTGCGCATGGGCTTTTCGCAAGTTGCAGTGAGTGGGGTCTACTCTTTGTTGTGGTGCGTGGGCTTCTCATTGTGGTGGCTTCTCTTGTTGCAGAGCACGGGTTCTAGGGGCACGGGCTTCAGTAGTTGTGGCATGTGGGCTCAGTAGTTGTGGCATGCGGGCTTCAGTAGTTGTGGCTCATGGGCTCTAGAGTGCAGGCTCAGTAGTTGTGGCACACGGGCTTAGTTGCTCCGCGGCATGTGGGATCTTCCCGGACCAGGGCTCCAACCCGTGTCCCCTGCATTGGCAGGCAGATTCTTAACCACTGCGCCACCAGGGAAGTCCCGCAGGTCACATTTCGTTGATTCTAAAATTTACTTTTTCACCTTTTAATCTCTAAAATTAGGATGCATCTCGTCCTCTAAAATTAGGATGCATCTTATAATCAGTGGTGTTTTGTAATTACCCTTAGCAGCACTTTTTCTTTCTTAGACATGAAATAATAATGCATCTCACAATTGTTGGGGGCTTAGGTTCAATGAAATATGATAGGTGGTAGAATGAAAGAAAAGCAGCAGAATGACTAACCTAAAATTTGGGATCACAATTACCTATGTTCAGGGAGAGAGGGGGCTAAGGAACGGAAGGATCACCTAGGAGAATTCTAAAGTATTGGCAAAATGTTATTTTTTTCACCTAGACAGTGAGTATATTGGTATTTGTTTTACTATAATTCTTGAAACAGTTTAGACTCTCGCATGTATGATATTTTTTACAATTAGAAAAGTGTGAAGAGGTAAGGAAGTGGAGACACGTGTATAATAATTTGGGAAGCTGGATAGAAAGGGAGGAAGAGAGGCAGGTGGTGGTTGGGGTAGGGTGTGGAGGATGCTACAGGGAAGACGGCCCTGAGAAGCCGGGGGGGGCCAGCCCATCACACATGGAGAAATCAGGAGAGATATTCCTCTATTGCAACAAGAGTGACAAAGGAAAAGATGGGTTTATGGAATATGTGGTGTATTTTGGGCATGTTTTCCTTGTGATGGTTTCTAAGTTCTTTGTGAAGAATTTATCTGTGGGGTCGTGGTAGTTATCAAATGGACAAACGGACATGAGGAGTAGGCATCTAAAATGTTACACATTTATCCCACAGTTACTCCACGCCACGTCTAAACGAAGAGTTTTGTACATCCATTGCTCTATTTATTCCCCCCATCAAAGTAGTGAGGTATATATTCTCTTATGATGTATTCATTTCCCAGGGTCGCCATAACAATATACCACAGACTTAAACAGCATGGCTTAAACGACAGAAAATTATTTTCTCACAGTTCTGGAGGCTGCAAGCCCACGATCAAGGTGCTGGCCTTGCTGGTTTCTCCTGAGGCCTCTGCTCAGTTTGCAGATGGCCTTTTTCCTTTGCACCCTTGCCCATGGTGTCTCTCTATATCTTCTTCTAAGAACATCAGTTCTATTGGATTAGGGCCCAAACCCTAATGGCCTCATTTTAACTTCATCACCTCTTTAAAGGCCTTAGCTCTAAATACAGTCACATTCTGAGGTACTGGAAGTTAGGGCTTCAACATGTGAATTTGGAGGCTGGGGGCCACAATCCAGCCCATAACAATGCCCATAAAGAAATGGAGATTTAGGGAGGTTGAACAACTTGCCAAGGGCATGCAGGTACAGTGTAAGAGCTGGGATGCGAATGCAAGCAGATCAATTGCAGTCTCTGAATGCCAACGATTCCACTGAAGAACAGTCTGGGGCCGAGAAGAGTGGAGATGCATGAAAAAAGGCTTTTGGAGAATTAAAGAAAAAAAGCTTCCGAATAAAGGAGTACTATTGTATTATTAGACTTTCAGAGCTGTGCAATCTGTCCCAGGAAACAGAATAGATGAACTGTCCTCTCATACACTCCCTTTTTAAATCTGAGTTTAATCAAAAAGACTATAGTTTTTGACCAAAACGGCAGTAAAGGCCAACAACTCAGCTGAAGTCCTCAGTCCCTGGTTCCCTTTTTGGAGAAGCCCGGTGTAAATTATGAGCTGAGTAGGGCGACACCTGCTGGGCTCTGCGGTGCATGGGTGGGAAGCTGGCTCTTTTCATAGGCAGTCCCCCACTGCTCTCTGCTGGCCAGCAGTTAGGAACACCCAGGAATGTGCAGACAGCCCTACTTCATTCAAAAACTACAAATCCGTAGGGAAAGGTGGGAAGAATCTACTGGAATCAGACTGTGGAGTATGTCAGTCCCACTCCTTCCCATACATATACATACATTTCAAATCAATGGTACAGTCAACTTTCACTTGGCATTCCGTGACTGTGCAGTTGTTTTAAACCTTGTGTCAGTTGTTTTCATCATTAAAAAATATATAACTGCCACCTTCTCAAAAATGTTTCTCAGGATCCAAGAATATGAGAATTTGAATGCAGGTTTTGATGACTTAATAAAATATTGGTTTGTTCATGCTTTCATGTTTTCAAAAACTATAGACTGATTGTAAGTTTGTTCAACATTTTAAAACCATGATCTCCTATGTGATGGTCCAAGGACCCCACCACTTGGTTACACTATTTTTGTAAAAATAATTGTCTTCATTTTCATACGTGACTTTTATTTTAAAAAGAATCAGCAATTCTTGCTTCTAGAAATTATTTATCTGGGGAAAATGTTCTAAGTAATAAAGGGTTCCCTTGAATTGCGAAGCGTAAGTAGGTGCCAGAAGAAACTACGGCTCTCCCGAGAACGCCTAGAATTCCTGGTGTGTGTGTGTCACAGGATGTGTGGCCTCGAGGACCTCGGTGAAATTCAAAAGGAGTGGGCTCAAGGGCCGTCAGTGTCCCCATCCTCGTGTGGGTCCCCAGACCCCCTTTACACAGTGGCCGGAATGGGCATTTAAAATGCAAATCAAATCATAATACCCTTCTGCTTCTGGAGAGGTCAAACATCACACACCTGATTTTAGAGTAAAATACAAATTCCTTACCAGGTTTACAAGGCCAAGCGATCTGGCTCATGCCAGCCCCTCTAAGTCTGCCCTTGGCCCCCTTTTCTTCCCTTTCAGCTGTTTGCATTTTCATCCTTCAAGGATCTCTCTGTGGCTCTATTTCCATATTCTGTTTCTTCAGGCCACTTGCTACAATTTGTAATAATCAAATGTGTTTATCTGTGGTTCATTTCCTGTCTTTACCATTAGGCATCATCTGCATCAGGTGAGTCCCTGCCCACCTTGCTCTTGCTGCATCCCCAGTACCTAATGCGTATATATTTCTCAATGAATGAGGAAGTGAACCGCTAAGGGAGCAAAGGAAGGAACTGAGAGGTGAGTGACACCAAAGTCATTCCATGCAGATCACAGTACCGAGTTCATTCCATAAATAGAAGGACGTCTCATCCCTGACCCACGGCATGGGAAGCAAGGAAGGGCAGTCACTGGGGTTGCTGCGCTCTCATCTTTGACTGCACTAGTCATCAAAACCACTCCTGCCTTCTCAGAGAACACCAGGCAAGCAGGCAGATCCACAGTTTAGGAGAACTGGAGGGCACATGGGCATGCGAACCCATCAGACGTAATCATTTAATCAGTGGTGTAGACACTGATCCTGAATGCCAACACCAGCCACTGAACCAGCGAGGAACACTCTGTGTGGATCCAGCACCTTCCCCTTGAAAGGGCAGCAGCACAGTCCGTAGGCTCGCAGCCCTGCTCTGAGGGAGGCATAGGAACAGTCCCATTTTACAAATGGAAAAATAATGAGCCCGTGGTCAGTGGGCTGGAGAACCACTCGTGGGCAGCAGGCTGATGCCTGACCTTCCGGGGGTTCTCTCTACATCTTCCCTGACAGACAACCAGAGCCTGAGCAAGGGAAAATAAATTCAGAACTGTCATCGGTTCGGAAACTATGGCTCGGGGAAGCTTGATGAGAGCCGTCTCCCAAAGAGGTAGCTAGTGGGGGCAGAAATGCTTGCTTGGCTGCAGGGAGGCCTGGACCAGACATCTTGGGGCACAGGTTTTACCCCCTGAAGTGCTGCTGGGTTGATGGAATTTTCCTCTGCCGTCCGTTGCTTCTCTCCTGGGCAGGATCCTGGCCTCTGACTGAGGAACAAGCCACAGAGAGTGAGGTCAAGCTTGAATGAAATGTCCAAGAGCGTCCCACGCAGGGCAGCATCAGGGCAGGCTGATCTGGGGGTTCTGCAGGAAGAAGGCCAGCTTCTGGGCCAGGGCCCCTAGCTCGCCTGAATTGGCGTACCGCAGGAGGTTGCTCTTCCGCACGAAGTAGTGTTTCAGAAAGTGCTGGCTCACGCACTTGTGCAGCTTCCTTACCAGGCGCAGGAACGCTCTGCTGAAGACCCGCCAGTCCTTTGGGTGGGGATACTTCTCACAAGTCCAGAAGAGCACTGTCTGTGGAAGGAAGAGGCGGTGTCAGACATCGTCCCGGTCTATTGAGGAGAGTGTCTTCAGGAACGTTCCCGAGCCCACGTGGCCTTGGAAGGAGGAGACGGGAGCCCCAGGGGCAGGCTGGGTCTGCCGTGGATTTATGATCCCCAGCCTTGGACGGGCTCTCAGCCTCCTCCTGCTGGTCTCCTATGCCTCTTTGGTAATTTATTCTCTCTCCACTGGCATTTCCAATGATCACCACTCTCCTAAAATTCATGATTCCCCACACCTGGCAGATGACTTTGCCTCCTTTACAGGGAAAATGCCTCGTGCGTGCAAACCAGCCATCGTTCCTTCATTTGGTATCTTCCTCTCTGCATCCCCCTAGCCTAGGAAAATCCCTCTGCAGGGCTAGGATCTCCCCTTCCAGCAACTGTAAATGATTGAGTTTCTTCTTCCTCATTGGCTTTTTATATCTATCAGAGCTCTCCTGCTCCCCAGGTGCCACATCTCCCTCCTGCCCTAACTCTCACCTCTCTGCAAATCCAGGTTTCTGCAGAGAATCATCTTAATAATTTGTCATTTCCTCTCCTCTGATTTCCTGCCTTAACCCACTCCAATATGGATTCTTCTGCCATCAGTCCTCAAAGGCTGCTCTCCTTAAGGTCCAGTGATCTCCATGTTTGCTAAATCCAGCAGGCTCTTTCCAGCTCTCACCCTACCTGACCTTTCAGTGGAATCTGGTTCTCTCATACCCTCACTCCCGAGCCATTCTTCACTTGGCTTCCAAGTGGGTTTCTCTGAGCAGTGCAGCTACGCCTTGGAGTGCTCACCCTCCACCTGCCCTAATGCTGGAGTTTTGGGGGCTCCATTCCAGGCCCTCTTCTCCCAATAAATATAGATAACTTGCTATTTCTTTTCTCCAGTTCACACTTCTCCTCTGACCTCCTTACCTGGTATCTCTTGGCCATCTGAAAGTTATCTCAGTCCATATGTCCAAACTGAACTCCTGGCCCTCCCCCACATACCTCGTGTGCTCCCAGGGTTGTTTATCCAGCCTGTTACGCAAGACGCAAACCTAGGAGTCATTCCCCTCCCTCACCACCTCCAATCAAGTCCTGCCAATCCTGCTGCCTGCGTATTTTTCAATCCACCCAATACAATCACCCTCTCCCACGGTGTCTCGCCCGGACCTCTGCCACAGCCTGCACCTCTTCTTGTCACCATCCTATCTGTTGTCATCCACACTGCAGCCAACGTGATCTCTTTGAAATATAAATCGGTCTATGTTTCTTCTTGTCTAAAATACTTCAAAGTCTTCCCATTGTTTGTTAATTAAAAAATACCATCCTTAGCATGGTTTAGTTGACAAGGTTTGGTCCCTCCCTTCCTTTCCAGCCTCATCTCGCCCTGTGTTCTCCCTCGCTCTTTCCTTCTAGCCACACTGGCCTCGTTTCATGCTCTCTTCTATCACAGGGCCTTTCACAACCCACTTCTTCCACATGGAGCGTACTTCCTTCCCCAGCTTGTCCAGGAAACTCATCCATCAGATCAAACTTCCCTATGACACCCATTAAGCACTCTCTTCATCCCATACTTCTCATATGCAGCAATGATGACAGTGGTGGTCATTTTCCTATGTGTTTAGGTGATTCCCTACTAGATGGCAAACTCTATGTGAGCAGAGGACTAGACCTATTTGTATTCACGCTGATGTTACTACATTCAGCAGAGGGACTGGCCCACGGGAGGCAGTCAATTGACATTTATTGACTGAGTGAAATAATTAATGTTTGGGTTTAGACGTTGAGTATTTTGAAAATATAGACTTTCCTAAAAAGTAGAAGAGCAGTTTTAGGTTCACAGCAAGACACTGAATGTGTTTTCATTTGGAGTACATTGTTTTGAGTAAATGAGTTGGAGATAATTTCATGCTAGTCAAGATAACCTAATAAAAAACATGTTTTAATTCCTCTTGTAGTTAAGCTTTTATCTCCCTAAGCAAACAGAAGCAGTTAAGCCTATTATAAGCAAGGCTCTGTGTCTTTGAGCAGGTTTAGGAATAAATAAGCCAATGAAAGATAAGCTCTTTCTTCACATGGAATTGCTATGGGGGAGAAGCCTCTTTGGGGAGGAGGTAAAGACCTTCCAGGAGGTGCCCATGATCGGCACATCCTTCCTGATGCTGTTTTGCAGCCCAGTGTCTTCCACTTTCCCCAGACTAAAGCCTTGGCAAGGATCCTGCACACTCAAGCCATCATCCAGGATGGTATCTCACACCCACACCAGCAGCCACATCCATCCCAACACCTCCATGTGAGAGAATTCTACCCTTGGACAAGGGTGGAAGACGAGGGGGAAAGGCAGTCAGTACTGTTTCGGTTTCTCAACAAATAACCCCCTTGTAACTGCTCGTTCTTGAGAATGCACAATTTTATTATGCCGTGTAGGTGGGTTAGGGAAGACTAAAACAGGGGGCCTTTAAGGAGTTGCCCTGAAATCCTCTAGGTGACTTAGAAGCCACTGGAATACAAGTAAATCCTGGATGGAATGCAGTTTTGAGAGCAGTCAAGGGCTGGGAGGCCCGTGGTGGCCCTATTCAATCTTTCTAAAATACTCACGGTACTTAAAGTGTTTTCATCCATCCTAATTGCGGAGCAGTGAAGTCAGTGGTTAGTTAAGAGTATGAGATTTGATATGAGACCGCCTGGAGTTTCCTTCTCAGTTCTGACTTTTCCTAGTGTGGCCAGTGGTAAGGCAAGTAAGAAAGAAGCTAAATCCCCGAAATGAATTAGACTAGCTTCAGAAAGTACGTGTCCTCGATCCAGGAGAACAGGTGTGTGTTTTTAGGGGGACGTGTTTGAGGACACTTTAAGAATGTTGAAACTGGAGAGAAAGGCCCCAGTATGTGCAAATGAGATGGTAACAGATTCTTGGGCAGGTCAGGGAGAACAGGTTATCAGAAAAGATAAGAAAGCAAAACAAAGATGAACAATTTTGCTGGGGGGGAAGAGTGGAGTAAAATGTGAAGTCATTCATTCAGATGATCAGCAAATATTTACTGAGCAACTACTACATACAAAGCATTGGGAGAGATACCAAGGGATCGCTATGAGTTGCCCTTAAATAGCTTGTGTTAGGCCTGAAAGAGTAACACAGGGCTGGGAAATGGTTGTCTACTGGACGAGACGAGGCCCAGGTAGGAGCGTGCAAGGAAGGCACCGCACACTCCAGGGACATGTGCTCACCTGTGTAGAAGGTTGGGGAGAAGGGCTGAAGCTCCAGGATGGATACTAGCTGGGCTGGGGCTACTAAGAGTCTGATACCTCCCCCCACCACAGTGTGCTGCACGCAGTATTACCTGAGCATCCAGTTCACCATGGGTGGTCAGAAATTTGAGAAAGGAGCTGAGAGTGTGATCAAAGGCCGTCTCCCCAGGGGGGACCCCCTGATGCCCTGGTCCAGGTCAGGTTCTGCTACCCTGAGCCTTCCTAGAGCAACGCTCCTCTCCACCCCAGCATTCCCCCACGTGGCACGATTCCACGCACACCTGCAGACTGATTGACCAACGTCTGTCTCCCCTGCTGGACCACAAGCTCCATGAGAGCAGGAACCACATCTGCGTTTGTTCACCTTGTACCGCCAGGTGTAGAGCACACAGCAGGTGTGGGGGCAAGGGACTGGCCCACGGGGATCTCAATAAACATTTGCTGAGTGAGTGAGTGAATGCATTTATGGCTGTCTAATGGTAAGTCCTTGCCTGGTGATTTGCAACCCGGAAGTTCAGGTTTGCTGCCAGGTTTGTCAGGTACCACAACAGTTCCTGGTTTTCTCCTCTGCACAGAGTGCGTGTGTGAGTGTGTATGTGTGTGCGCATGAATGGCTGCAATTGGGCTAGAATGGGGACTGAATGAGTCATAACGTGACGGAAAATGCGAATCCATCTCAGGTTTGAGGAACTCCCAAGATTTCACCAGACTGTAGATTTCTCAGGGGCAGAGACTGCATGCTGTCATTCATTCCTGAACCTCAGCCGGGTTTCTGGCACACAGTGGGTGCTCGTGTTGGTTTGTTGAGTGAAATAAAAGGAGGGGAGAGGGAAAGGGAGAGAAGGCAAGGCAGAAAGGAAGAAAGGGAAGAGGGAAACTGGGAGAGGGAAGAAAGGAGGTGGAGGACAGGGACCCTGGGCAGGGCTGCTGTGGACATGCACGCGGCTGGGGCTGTATATCTCCATAAGGAGTACGAATTTGTGAGATGGCAAAGATGGACACTAGGCCCCCTCCTACTCATCACACACACCCCCGTTGTGAGTGGCTCTGGTGACCCTGCAGAGGCCGCAGAGGGACCTACCCAGCCCCAGCCGCCCTGGCCCTCTAGGCCGGGGCGGCACACTCACCTGAAGGTGGTAGGATGTGATCACAGGTCTTTTCCCTGGACACCAGACGTCCTCCTTCATCTGCCTCATGGCCTGAAGACACTTCCTGCGGCAGCCCCCGTCCTCATCCAGCTGCTCCAGCAGCACCCGTTCAGCCCGCAAGAAGCTCAGCTGCCAGTGATAGTTCGAACAGGCCAACAAGCTAAACCCAAATGACTGCGGGAAGAGAAAAACAGAGGGAAACCAGAAGGATGATGCTGGTGGAGGAGAAAGCCATCTCCGAAGCAGTCCACTAGGAGGGGGTACCTGCCACTGGGCGAGCAGCACATCCCACGTGGGGACACGGAGGGAGCCTCAGGGGAGCCCCTTGCACGCAGGCAATTAACTGGGGAGGCTGCGTCCACTTTCTCCTGGGCAGTGGTTCTCGAACTTGAGCCTGCCCCAGAATCACCTGGAGGGCCTGTAAGAACACAGATTGCTGGGCCCTGCCCACCGAGTCTCATTCCCTAGGGCCAGAGCAGGGCCCGGGAATCTGCATTTACCACAGATTCCCAGGTGCCGCTGCAGGTTCTGGGGATCTAGTGAAATTTCAATTTTCCTTCCGAAGCTGGTTGGTGGTTAGTGATGCTGTGGTTGGTTAAGGTGAGAGCATCTCTGGTGAGCCGGGACCCTGCAGGCTAATACCTTGATGCACTGCACTCTCTCTGCAGAAGGCCAGCGCTTCAGACACGAAGGCCACCGGGCTTTCTTGGACCAGGCGGTGGGGATCTCCACTGAGGGGGTCAGCTCTAGTTCCACCAGACCTGTGGAGGTTTCCACGGCAACTCGAACTGCAGGGCGGTCCATTAGCATGCTGACCTTACCTGGTGGTAAATGACAGACAATGGGAAGACAAAGCTTGGCTCAATACTAGGGTTCAAAGAAGGAATTTGTGAGCTGTGGCTCCTACCAGCTCCTTGTAACTGGTGGGGCAACTTTCAGAGTTTCAGTAGCACACCAGGGCAGCGTGTTTATGTCAACACTAGACAATTAGCTAAGTAAATATTGATAGAAACATTGCTGGAAAAATCTCATTGTTGGTGGGGTTTACTTTTTTCTTTCATCCTCCACCCCTATCTTTTCTAAAACATTAATAGACTCTTTCCAGAAAGCTCAACTGAAAGAGACAGAGAATACAAGGAAAAGGTGTAGCTTTTGCTACTGTAAGATGAAATCCAAGCATTTTTCTATAACCCCCCCATTCCACCCAGATGTCGACCCCATTTAGGATAGCCTCAGACCCCTTACTTACTCATTTGCCTTTGGTGGGGTTCAGCTTAACCTGTCTCTTAACTAAGTCACAGTCTCAGAGACGGTATTTGTTCCCACCACCCATTGACCAGCCTAGCCTCAGATGGATTTATCATCATAAGCCTTGAAATCATAAAATACTTCAAAGTGTGGCAGAGCCGCTGGCTTGAATAGTCAAGTAAGCAGAAAGAAGCCCTTCCTGTCTTTTCCAACCAGGCAAAGAGAGGGAGAGAAAAGGAATGGATCAGGGAAGGTTTTCCAGCTCATACATTAGAATTCATTTCCAGTTTGTTCCCCTTTCTTTCAACAGATACACAGTAATGTTTTGTTTGTTGGCTTGCCTTCGTCGTACATAGGGATGAGCCGTCTTGAATCGGGATCTGTTATTTTGCTTTTCCTTGCTCAGAGAAGGAAACAGAAACTCATTTATTAATTGTGTTAGGCTGTTCAAAAGGAAAACACTCCTCTCCTTGGCTGGGGTGTGATAAAGAGCTTATTGTCTGCATCTCATCAGAGCTGCACAGACAGGAACATGACAACGTCTGGCACTGCAGCATTATTTACTGAAAGTACCTCATCAACCTGGCCCAGTTTGAACCTCTTATATGCACTTTCACCATTAACAGTGTTGCCGAGTGAGGAGGTGAGCACATGTTGGCCCCAGCCTGCCTGGCCCACACCCTGCTTCGCCTACTCTGCCAACTCGGTGTGTGACCTTTGGCCTGTTACTTAATCTCTCTGAATCTCAGTTTTCTTGTCTGTACAACAGTTAGAAAAATGATCCTCACTCTAACAGGGTTGCTATGAGTATTAAATGAAATAATCCATGAACGCACCCTCTACATGGTAACAGTCCATTCAACGCGAGCTATTTCCATTACAGAATCTTTCAGAACTATTCTGTCTAGACAAGCAAAAGTACATGCAGATCCTCTTCTTTCTTTACAAGTGGAGTTGCATATTATTCAGCAATTTGGTTTTTCACTTAATTATGTTGCACAGGCATTTTTCATAACTCTGTGTGTGCATATATACACCACACACACCCTATTCTTTTTTTAATTCTAATTTATCTTTTATTTCAATTTACTCCACCAATGAGAAATATATGCAAATGCAAAAGTCAACAAAGTATTTTAAAAGGGAAATGAAAAGGAGGGATTTCTGTTAAAGTCACATGTTGGATTGGAGATCCCCAAACCCACTGCCAATAAGACATATAAAAGTTTAAAAACATTATTTGTATGTAATGAGACTGCCAGAAAGTAGGAGAATCATTTGAAACTAGCAATGAAGCAAGAACACCTACCCAGGAAAGTACTAAGTGGGAGAATTGCCAAAATACCCTCATGGCGTTAAGCCTCGGTACTTACAGCTTCTGTGTATAGAAACTGCACAGAGAGGAGGAGAGGAGGTCTAACGGGCTGAGGCTGGGGCTTATGCTAGGTGGTAAGCCTCACAAGCCTGGAATCAGGAAAAGCTGTCCCTTGAGGGAAATTATGAACTAAGAGAAATAGACAGATTTTCTCGTGGGCTCTGGATAGTTGATTTAATACAAACAACAACAAAAACCAAGCGCTTCCCTCCTCCCTAGAATTTCAAAGGCGTTAGTCACCGTCCTGTGTTTAGGGCCTGGATGTTTACTTTCCCAAATCATCTAGGTAAGATGGTACTTCTGAGAGTACCAGGAAAAATCAAATACAAGTCTTCTCGGAGAAACACACCCCGATATGCACATGGAGTGTGAACGGTGTTGCATAGACAGGGGGTGTGGGGCTCCAATCCATTATCAACACACCTCGTGCTTTTTAAAGGCCGCGTAATAGTCCACTAGGCAGAGGGAGCATAACTGATGAAGTCAGTTTTCCTTTGTTAGCCATCAGATGATTTCTAATGACTTACTATTACAAAGCCAATTCAGTAGATATCCTCATGCATATTTCTTTGTGTATCTGCAGGAATGTATCTTTAGAACTGGAATTGTTGAATTGCCAAGTAAGCACGTAACAAAAATAAAAATGGACTAACTGCCCTTTGAAAAAGGAGGTACCAATGTACACTTCCAAGAACAATGCATGAAAATGCCTATTTAACCATACTCACTCCTGCACTGAGCATGATTATATGTCAGCCTACGAGGTGTTTTAATGTATATTTCTTGGAATGTATGTTAGATGGAGCATTTTTTATTTTTACTAGCCATTTACATTCTTTTTCTGTGAGCCGTGCTTTTCGGTCAGTATTTCTATTGGTCTGCTCATAGCTTTTCTTATTGGTTTATAAATACTCTTTTATAATTAAGGAAATTAGCCATTTTCCCAGTTTGAAATTCACCTTTTTACTCTGTGTGAACAGAAACATGTGTGTGGGCAGGTGTGCACATATGCTACACTGTACAGTAGCTTAGGATTTTGGGGTTGTGAGAAAATTACAATTCGAAAAGATTCATGCACCCCAATGTTCATTGCAGCACTATTTACAATAGCCAAGGCATGGAGGCAACCTAAATGTCCATCAACAGATGACTAGATAAAGAAGATGTGGTGTGTGTGTGTGTATATATATATATATATATATATATATATATATATAATGAAATATTGCTCAGTCATAAAACAGAATGAATAATTTGCAGCAACATGGATGGACCTAGAGATTATCATACTAAGTGAAGTAAGCCAAAGACATATATCACTTATATGTGGAATCTAAAAAAAGAAAAAAAAAAGATATAAATGAACTTATTTACGAAACAGAAATAGACCCATAGACATAGAAAACAAACTTATGGTTACCAAGGGTGAAAGGGGTGTGGGGAGCGATAGATTAGGAGTTTGGGATTAACATATATACACTACTTATAAAATAGATAACCAACAAGGACCTACTGTATAGCACAGGGAACTATACTCAATACACTGGAAACTAACACAACATTGTAAATCCACTATACTTCAATAAAAAAGAAAAGAAAAAAAAAGATTTTGGGGTTGTCAAACATAATCAGTTCCTTATGGCTTCTGGCTTTTTGTATTTTGGTATGTCAGTGGTTCCCAGATGTGCTGTCCCAGCACACTGGAATACTGCAGTCAGTTGGAGGCTGTTGTAGTGGAAATGTGCTAATAACAAAGATCTGTGGTTGATGAGTAATTTGCGAAAGTACCCAGGTTTTGAAGCTAACATCTTGGAAACGGTGCCTAACCCAAAGACTGTCTTATCTACGCCAGGGCAGTAATCTCTTGAGGCCACGGAAGTGTGTTGTGAGTATGAATTCCATTCTGTGTGTCACAGCATAAAAAAGAGCTAATTCATATTATGGGGATTAAACAGATGTAAAAAGCACATGATTGTATCCTCAATCTAGGGGCGTGAGCTTCAGGAAACACCCAAGCAGAGGGGTTTTTTTAGAGCAAAATGGAAATGCCAGACATTTTCCTTGTACATTTCCTGATCGGCTCACCTGACAGGTGACAGGTTTCAATTGCGTTTTCGACCAGTTTCCGGAACACCTGGAGGACCTTGGCGGGCACAATGTCTCCGTCAATGTTCACATCTGCCTCGTGCCACTGCCACAGGCTCTTCAGAAACTGCTCCACCTCCAGCCACTGCTGCAGGCCCTCTGGGTCCCGCAGGGGGCAGGGCAGCCGGGCGCCCTGCAGGGTGTAGTAGCGCCAGCGCTGCTGCCGGGCCTCCCTGTAACCGGCCAGGCCTCTCATGGGGACTGTGATGAGGAGCTGGGTGGGGGCCAAAACCTGGGATTAGGAAAGGAGGGAGAAGGAGTGTGAGTTCATAGACTCGGGAGGCGACAAGCCCTCAGGGAGCCGCCCTGCTGACCCAGGCCGCTCAGTTAACCACTCAACCCTTAGCAATGTGACAAGGAGGACAGAACTGCGCCCACCTGCCCGCCTGCTGGCAGAGGATTCCGTCTCTGTTGTGCCACTAGCCCATTGTAACGCTTCGGGCAAAGAAATTAACTCAGTGAGGCCTGGGTTTCATGGATCTGCAAGGAAAAAGAGTGAAGTGGACCCGGAACTCTAGAGGCACCTAAAGCTTGAGGGGAGGGGGACAAAAAGCAGGGAGGGGAACTAGTAGTCACTGCTTTCTGCACCTACCAAGCACTGCGATTCTTGTGCATTAGCCTACCTCATGTTCACAGCTACACATGAGGTAGGCTTTGCTAACATTTCCCAGATGAGGAATCTGAGGCTCAGAGGGGCTCCAAGTCTCCCCAGGGACACACAGCCAGTCAGTGGTAGAGCCAGAACTTGACTTTAGGTCTTCCGATTGCTTGTTCAATGGTTAATTGTCTCTCCTGAGCTGGTTCTTAGTCAAGAATCAATGACCCGGCCCGGGATGCGTGAAAGATCCGGTATGAATTAAGGGTGGGAAGAGATGGGAGAGGACGTGAAAGAATTCTGCAAAATGCCTCCCTTTCTTTTTGCTTGTACTGATGACCCACAGTGTTAATGACTAATCCTTACAGAATCACAGGTGACATGAAATCCTGTTTGTTGAGACAAGGTGAGCTATTGAGATGATTCTAAGTTTAATGGGAAGAAGTAAACACTAAGAATCTACTTACTCTGTTTCTACAGGAACCGGGAAAGCAGTGGTCAGGCCAATAGTCCAAGAGATAGAACAAATTAGTCCACAGTGCAGTACCACCAAAGGGAAATGACCTTTAATCACATCACACAGCAGCCCACTCCACCCTGCATGTTTCCCCATCACTCAGCTATACACTGGAAGAGCCACCTCCTTTCCACGGAAAGTTCTGACAGTGGAATTTGAATAACCTTTGCCCAGGGACCAGTCAGTGGCGAATTCAGGGGTGAACACCGAAATCAGCAATAACTCATTCTGCCTCATTTTCATGGAAGAGTAGTATGGATGTTTAGTTGATGGGTGCACGTGACTTCTGGTGTCCATTGAAATGTGGTGGGATTAAAACAAGGGAGGGGGGATCTAAACTATGGCCTTTAAAATCTATATAGTTTGGGGGACTTCCCTGGCGGTCCAGTGGTTAAGACTCTGCGCTTCCACTGCAGGGGGCACGGGTTCCATCCTTGTTCGGGGAACTAAGATCCTGCATGCTGTGTGGCGTGGCCAAAACAAAAACAAAAAACCCCAAATCTATATATTTTTTGAACCCACTTTCATATGAATCCAAGAACACAACTATCATGTTATTAGTCACAAAAATGGTGGTTAATAAATGCTTATTGAATTTGGGCCAAGATAAAATAAAAGCATTTTTATATGCCCCACTGTAACTATTTTCAAAACTTATATAATATGCAGGATACAGTGTATATAAATGCAAGATATACTTTAAGCTATGAATTCTAAGTGCGACCACAGAAGGAAATTTCTCCAGATATAGTTCTAGGAAAAGTGGTGTTATGTTTCTATTCCTAGTCACTTGCCTATATTTGTCCTGTTTAGGTTGGCAAGGTAGTAGAGGTGGGCAGATGATGTTCTGACATTCCAGGATCCAATCTAATTTTATAATTTTCATCCTGGAGTAAATTTCTTAAAGTCTGATTCTGTCCCCAAATCCACAAGTCCCAGCATCTTGTGGGTGGTCATTGTACCCACTAGACTTGAAATGTCCTGGACTAGCAATGGTCTTTCGTTCAGGTACCAATTCTTTTGATTCCTCATTCATTCAACAGAAGTTGAGCGTCTATCATGGGCCACACACTATGCTGGGTGCTAGGAAGGCAGCAAGCAAGAAACATGATCCTTATGAGCAAGGAACTTACGGTCTTGTGTGAGAGCTGGGGCATGCGTACACACAAGTTTAATACTTCTATGAAAGAGGTTCTTGTGTGTCACAAGAAAAATCACGATAAAGGAACACAGAGATTCGGAATGATTCAGAGCCTCACTTCTCTCATCTCTAAAAGGGAGCAAACCATAATGTCTGTTCCACTAGGTTGTGTGCAAGTTTGGGTGAGATCATTTCTGTGAGACTGGCTTTGCCCACACTACCATGTTGCATGAATGCTGGTTGTCACACACGGGCCCTGGGGGTTTAGAGCTCTGTGGGATTCCTTAGCAGGGACAGAGTTGCCAGGCTGCTCCTGCAGTTCCTAAGGGCCACCTCTTCCAGTTTCTTCCTTCCCCCACCTGTAGCCCATCCACTATCACTTTCAACTCTTTTCTCACCAATGCCTTGAGTTCCCTGTACCCAGTCCCCAATCTATTAAATGGGTGCTTAATAAATGAATGTGTGCTTAACTGAACTTTTTTTTTTTTTTTTTTTTGCGGTATGCGGGCCTCTCACTGTTGTGGCCTCTCCCGTCTCGGAGCACAGGCTCCGACGCGCAGGCTCAGTGGCCATGGCCCACAGGCCCAGCCGCTCCGCGGCATGTGGGATCTTCCCGGACTGGGGCACGAACCCGCGTCCCCCTCATCGGCAGGCGGACTCCCAACCACTGCGCCACCAGGGAAGCCCTTAACTGAACTTTAATTGGTACAGTGGAACATGCTTTGGAATCAGAAGCACAGGTGGAGTTCTGGTTTTAGTGCCTAATATGACTTGATCAAGTCATTTGACTTTTTTAAGCCTCAATTTTTATCATCTGTAAAGTAGGAATGTGGGGCTTCAACTGCAGTAACATCTATGCAATGAGTGTAAGTGGTAAATACTAAGAGATCTTGTTAGTAATCTTAGTGGTGCAAGTGCCTGACACATGCTGAGACCACCCCCCTGTTTCCTGGCTCGCTGGGTGGGCACTTAGAGCCAAGTGACCCACGTACCTTAATGTTCTCATTGTACGTGTCAGAGTAAAGGACGGCTTGAAATCGAATGTCTTGGTAGCTGATTTCTGTGGTCAGATGATGGACAATTTTCTGCACCTCTTCCACCGTCTGGGAAATCCACTGGCGCCTCAAGTCCACCTGGGTGTGAAAGGATCAGCAAAGGCCGTCATTCCCGGATCAAGCCCCAAGGAAGTGACGAGACAGGGCACAGCTCAGAAAATCCTGCCCTTCCAAGAGCTCCGGGAGAGATGAACTTAGGTCTGATGACACCCGTTGGTGCCTCAGTGTTCTCTTCTGAAATAGAAGCGTTGCTCAATATTTATGTAGTACCTGCCTTGCGGTAGGTGCTTTCTAGGTCCTCGCATGACAGTGAGCAGGACAGCAGCGAACAAGATAGAGATACTTGCTTTCTAGTTGAAAATACAGGACACATGCGTATGTGTGTGTGTATACATACATACATACACACAAACACATATACATATATGTGTACACACATATGTATAATGTAAGATCAGGTATAAGTCCCAAGAAGAACAATACAATAGGATAAGGGACTAGAGAATAAAGGGGCTGCTATTTTAGACTGGTGGCCAGGGAAGGCCTCTCGAAGGAGGTGAGATTTGAGCGAGCCCTGATGACAGCTTGGGAAAGCAAATTCCAAGGCCCCTAAAGCAGGAGCAAGCTTGGAAAGGCTCAAGCGCCAGCAAGGAGGCCTTTGCTGTGGTTATAGGAAAAGAAGAAGGAGGGTGATAGGAGATGAACTTGGAAAGGATGGTGGGGGCCAGGCCATCCCACAGGGTTTTGTGAACCATGGTGAGAGTCTAACATGGGATAAGAATGCCTGCTGTCCGGGTTGGTGAATATAAAATAGTCTAAGGCACGTGAACATGCGGCGGATCGTCTTCTGTATGTCATCAATACATGATGGTTCCCTTCTCCCCTGCGCTCACCCCGTCCTTTGGCTCCTAGACCCTTAAGAAAAGGCGTGCCCTGATGTCTCTTCTGACTCTGCACGGCAAGTCTCCAAGAACTGGAACGGGCTCTTTGTTACGTTGCTCCGGAGGCACCTGCAGGCTGGTGTTTGATAAGGGTCTCCCTCAGAGATGCTGCAGAGCGTGTGTCTTATATGACCTTAAGTACGATGATCAGGTCTATACTAGCTTTTAATATCATCTTCTTGCCACCAGCAGCCAGCCACCCCTCTCCGTGTGTTCATCTCAGAGCATTCATCATGGGAGAAGGGACAAAGGGTAGCTTTTTTGAGCATCTATAAACTATCAAGATTCTGCATCTTTTGGAGTATGTAAGTGGAAGAGAGAAGGTAGTCACAGAGAGGGGCAGGTCATTTGCCATGCCCAAAATAAAGGCAAGTGCTTGTAGAAGCATAATTAAGGGTCTCTCCAGTGTAGGACTTCTCTGATGTGCTGGGATTGAATTCCATTTGACCAATTTTTGTTGAACATCCACTTCATGCCAGGTTCTGTGCCTACAGTGTTGTCAAGAGGTTGACAGATAAGATGACAAAGCAAGACCAATAAACTGGAAATTAAAATTACAGCCATTAGTGCTAAGTGTAGGTTTGCAAAGGATGCTAAGGGTACACAAAAAAGGGAAACTGCATCTAGCCTGGAGGCCTTCCTGAAGGCATGGTATATCAGAGTTGTATCTTGAAAGGTTAGCAGGAGTTAGCTAGAAAGAGAAGGTTGTTCTAGAAAGAGAAAATGGTAGATACTTAACACAAGGAGCACAAGGGGAGAACTGCAATTGTTTCTACTTTGTTGGAGCAGACGTTGCCTTGGAGGAGAATGGTGAGGTGGGAGAACAAACGGTGAGAGGTCTTGAAAATAGAGGAAGAATTTCAAGAACAAAGTCAACATTAACTGGCTGAGTGAGATAAGGCCCCCCAAATGCCCGTAGAGTTTGGTAACTAGAACAGGACTGATGTGTTTGGGGAAACCGTGGGCGTCAAGCCAGACGGCAGTGGGTTTAGAGAGAATGGGAAACCAGCAAGTGAAGTCAGAGGTAAGCGACTCCTCCCGCAAGCCTGGCTGGGGGAAGGAAAAAACAAAAACAAGGACAGCAATGGGTTTTTTCAAAAGGACACACAGGTTCGAACATGGTTAGATGCTGAGAGAAAAGAGCCAGTGAAGAAGGAAGAAGGCAGAGAGCAAAACCCCTGAGCAAGGGTTTCCCAGCCAGGAAGCATTGTGGAAGTCCAGAAACCTGGTGAGGAGCTCGTCTCCGTGCGTCAGAAGGAAAAGAAGATGGGTGCAAATGCAGGTAAAAGCATAGAGATTTCCTGCCTGACGTCAGCAGGAGACAAGGCAGTGCGTTGAGAGTGAGGTGAGAAGAGGGAGGCAGGGGACTTCAGGGTGACAGACATTGGCAATAGCTTCTCTAAGGGATGAGGGGCCATTTGGGCACATGGGTAAAGGTTGCCAGGCAGAACCAAGACTCAGCTCTGGGTGCATGAAGCTGTGGGATACCAGTGGGCTCATTTATAAGAGGTTGTCCAGTACCTCCCGGCCCTCCAGGGGTAACAGTGGAAGTGCTGAGACTAGAGTTTGCTGGCAAGATCTGGAGGAGAGCAAGGGAAGAGATCAGTGGAGGGCCATGTTTTCGAGCCTGGGCCGAGAATGGATGAAGCCAGTTTGGTAGATTAGGGGACATTGGACAAGTTCAGGGGCCAGACATCTGATCAGGAATAGTGGGAAAAAGTAAGACAAGGGCTAACTAGATAGAACGCTGCAGTCAGAATGGTTGGGAAATAGTAATCTTGAATAGTGAAGTTCTCAGAATGTGTTGAGGACTAAGGCTAACTTCCAAGTCCACTGATGTGAGTCCATAGAACTTGACTGTTAGTAACACAGTGGTGACTCTATATATGCAGATACATTTTGTTTCCTATGTTAATAAACGAATGAAAGATTCATTACCGTATTGATACTATCAAATAATTTTTAACTGATAAAAGCTTGAAAGTGTGTGTGTGTGTGTGTGTGTGTGTGTGTGCGCACGCACGCACCTAGTGGGAAGAGTTCTCCATTGTGAACCTCATCTACAAATTATGCTGCCATTTGATGGTAGAATTTTCTTACCGGCAGGACAAGTTCAGACACCCCTTAGAAGACACCTATAATTTCTCATTCATTATTCCTCTTTATGACCTGTTCTGACGTGTGAAGATAAAAATCAGAATAAGGAAATACTTTTCTGGGCCCAGAGCCACAAATTCTGGTTTTAATTTTCTTTGTCTGTCCCTTTGGCTGCAATTTAAACCCAGGATCTTAGAATTGGAAGAGTCTCAGAAATCATCTTGTCTGGTATCCTTTTACAGAAGGCCAGAGTGACACAGTGGCCCTCCTAATATCACACTGGTACTTAGCAGTATGACTAGACCTAAGGCCCAGGTTCCCCAACTCTTCTTTCTGTCACACTGTGCTACACCCTCAATTAGGAGTTCCAGAAATAATACCTACCTTTATCCTCTTTCTGAACCTGACCATGCCCTCAGTTTGGAGTTCATGAAATAACAAGTCCAAAGTTGTTCTGACATGCCGCAATACTGACTGCTCTGGCATGCCGCAGACACGTAAGGGCAACACAGCAGGGGTCGGACAGTGATGCAGGGCTTAACCAGAGCTGCGGAGGGAGAGCCCTGCCTTGGACAGGGCTGCCCCAGGACCCAAGCCACTGGAGTCAAGGGGGAGCCGCTTTCCTGTTAGGTGATGGGCAGCCCCTTCCTGCCTATGTCTCTGGATACACTTCCTGCCATTGGTTCTTAGCAAACAGGATCACAGAGCTATTCACCTGCCCCCAAAGGGGTTTGGGCTGGGGGTTTCCCAGGCTCAGTCCCACGTACCTCTTGTCACTCCCACGATCTAAACCACAACCCAGAAGCCCCAGGCTGTTTCCCTCCACTTGTCCTGACCATGCCTATGGGTAAGAAGATTCCATTTCACTGTGTGGGAAAGCAGGAAATGGGGCCTGAGGCAGCTTTACAGGGAGTGGCCCTGGTGAAAGAAGGAGGCTCTACCGGTCACCAGCCCAATGTCAGAATCCCTTTGTTGCCTCTCAAACTTCAGGAAGCAAGCTAAGATACCCGTGGTAACCTTGAAGCAGCCTTGTCACTAAATTTATTTCACAGCAAAGCTTTGAAACAAACTTAAGGAGGAAATATGATAATTTAAGAAGATGGATCAAAGCCCATTTGGTCCAAATTTTTTTTTTTGGCCGCTCCCTGCGGCTTGTGGCATCTTATTTCCCTGACCAGAGATCGAACCTGGGCCCTAAGAGTGAAAGCGCCAAGTCCTAACCACTGGACCACCAGGGAATTCCCTCATGCAGTCCAAACTTGACCTTGAGTGCCTGTTTAAGTTTCATTCACGTCCTCTGCTGATGAGGTCAATGCACAAAGGTTGGTACTTCCCTGGTGGTCCAATGGTAAAGAATCTGCCTTCCAATGCAGGGGATGCATGTTCGATCCCTGGTCAGGGAACTAAGATCCCACATGCCAAGGGGCAACTAAGCCCACGCGTGGCAACAACTGTGCCCGTGCGCCTCAACTAGAGAGACTGCGTGCCGCAAACTGCAGAGCCCACGTGCTCTGGAGCCTGCGCACCACAACTAGAGAGAAGCCCGAGTGCCACAACGAAAGAACCTGTGAGCTGCAATGAAAATCTCGTGTGCTGCAACTAGGGTCCGACGTAGCCCAAATAAATAAATAAATAAGTAAGTAAAAGAGACTTTGTCTTAAAAAATAAATAAATAAAGAGAAACACTTTGTTTCTAAAGGGAAGCATTTGTGGGTGTGGCAGAGCAAAAGCAGAAATGAATTGTGGTAAATTAACCAGGCCCATGATGTTAGATGTGGTTAGATCATCTAATCCAACCCCTGCATTGCACTGACCCTGCAAAAGTTATGCCACACTCCTTAGCATACAGATTTAGTCACTCTAACTAAGCAGAGTTTACGCAGAAACAGTCATTAGAGACTGCTGGCACCTTTAAGGTTGCCATCCATTTTTTGTGGGCCTCCCTCCAGGGCTTGTCTGTGTGCCCACACGCATGTCCACCTCCCCGGGCACAGCGTCAGGCCCATTGTTGTCCCACATCATTTGCTGCTATTAATAGCTCAAGTTTGTGAACAATTTCCTGTTTCAAATAAAAATTATTGAGAATTCAAGGTTATTCCTTATAATTACATCAGTCTGACTCACTTGTATTCCCACATGCTTTCCTGAGAGGGAGGTAGGGGGTATGCTAAATAGTGCACCAGGAATGCCACACAGGCCTGGCCACACCCAGGAGCATGTGGCCAATGCGAATGTCATCCATAGTGAGTGCCACTGGGGAAAAAGGCTGAGAACTTCCTTCTGGACAACAGGAAGTCAGACTTTTAATTCTGGAATTGCGTTAACTCCAATAATCAGTTTAAAAAAGTGGTGGGGTGGGGGGGCGCAGACACTGACTGTCTCTGTCTTCCAGGGGTTAATAATTTAAAGGCACGGAGACTTAAATTCAGTGATCCATACAGATAAGACATCACACTCTCCATCTTTTTAGACTAATTCTTCCATGAACCAAATGCTTGGGCCCCACAGGATATTTGCAGCTCCCAAAGAGCAGAAGCCATAGCAACAGCAGCACCGTGGAGCTAAGACTGGTGAGGCGTTGCTGTGCGCAGGATACTTTATAAGGGTTCGCTCCTTTGAGACTCCCGATAAGCCTTTAAGGTGGATGCTGTGATAATCCCCATTTTACAGAGGACGACACTGGAGTTCAGAAAGTGTAATAACTTACCCGGGGTCCCGGAGTCAATAAGTCACAGAACAGGAATCCACACCCAGGCGGTGCCCTTGTTCATAATCACTGCACCGCTCTGCCTCCCCAAGGACAAGGAGACTGGGAATGAAAACCGCTAACTGCTTGAATGGGGTTCCAGTAGCTGGAAGGCCTCTCCTCCACTCGTTAAAACCCTATGCATTACGCATGTGCTAAGGCTTTGTCATCACTCCTTCTGTGAAACGTCTCTCCCATCAGAGGTCACACTGCTCTCTTCCCCTCCAGCACCTTGTTTAAATCTCTATGTAGTGGGCTTCCCTGGTGGCACAGTGGTTAAGAATCCGCCCGCTAATGCAGGGGACACGGGTTCAAGCCCCGGTCCGGGAAGATCCCACATGCCGTGGAGCAACTAAGCCCGTGCACCACAACCACTGAGCCTACGCTCTAGAGCCTGCGAGCCACAACTACTGAGCCTGTGTGCTGCAACTACTGAAGCCTGTGCGCCTAGAGCGCGTGCTCCACAATAAGAGAAGCCACTGCCATGAGAAGCCTGCGCACCGCAATGAAGAGTAGCCCCCGCTCACTGCAACTAGAGAAAGCCCGCGTGCAGCAATGAAGATCCAATGCGGCTGAAAATAAAATTAAATAAATAAGTAAATCTCTATGTAGCGCTTGTGATGTTAAGCATTTGCTGTCTGCACGGGGAACTTCCTCCTTTTACCTTTGGGGTTATGTGCAAAATCTGCAGGTGAGATAGGGTCACCCTTCAAGATACCCAAACACAAAATTTCTCTCTCACTAAGCAGGTCACATCCGGACCTGTGTTTTGGGCACTGTGTTTTGCACTGTGTGTGTTTATGGTGATATAGAGGGTTTAGCAGATGAAATGTGGTTTGGTGTAAAAAAAGAATAGGCTGAAACCACAGCATCTTCACTAACTGTGTGACTTTGGACACGCTGTTTAATCAGCACGAGCCCTGCTTCCCCCTCTGTTAAAATGGAGGCAATATGCACGTGTCACATGATTGTTGATTAAATGAGACACTGTAGGGCCTCAACCTGCTAGCACCTTTAACACTCGTCTTGCATTACCTTCAATGAGCCCTGAAGATACTTCTGACCACATACGTGCAATGATACTATGTGAATTCAAAGGGAATAAAGATATCCGAGACACTGTTCTTCCCTCTGGAAACTTATAAAGAATAAAATGATATACTATTTAAGTTGCCACCAAGATAACGATAGGAAAGGCATCAGGAGTCAAGATACAATTGATCGCAAAATAAATATGATCAGTGATCATTACGATGGGAGTTCACAGGAAGACACAAACGTTTTGTGTTGGGGTGTCAGATTAATCTTTCATGAGCAAGTGGACTCTGAGCTGAGTTTGAAGGATGAGGATGAGTCAGAAAAATGAAGAAGAGACAGGATATCTCCCCAGGTGGGGGGGAGGGATGCTCTGGCCTGAGACCTTCTCAGGGCACAGTTCTTGTGGGACAGGGCAGTCAGACTCAACCACCTACAGGGCGGAGTAGGGGACACACATGGGGCGGGGTGGGGGAGGCGGATGTCAGACTCCAGCAGTGCCGCAGCCTCCAGTGGGACAGACACTCAGCTCCATCCCATGGCTGCCAGGTAAGAAACTGGGACCTGTGGTTGCCAGATAACCTGATTTTTTTTCCAGAGAAGATGGAAAGCTGGATTTCTATGCAAAATCTCACAATTTTGAAATGTTTGTAACAAATTTGACAAAATTTAAAAATTCTCTGCAGGCCAAAGAAAACACATGCTCAGGCTGGATTCCACATAGAGAGCTTTTGTTTAGAATTTCTGTGATTGAAGATGCAGGGAAGCAGAGAGTAGAAAGATAAAGTATTATTTTAATGCCAGGCTAAAATATTTGGATTTTTTTCTTTCAGAAAACACAGGACAATGGGGAAATGCCAGCTAACGCCCCTTCCACTTATAGCCCCCAAAAGGAGAAATCATTTTGTTTGCTATAATTTTTATTATGATAAGTTTTCCCTATTTACCCTCTTAATGGTTTTGCCTAAGAAATCAACTTGACTTATCATTATAATAATGAACTCTGCTCTGTTTACTCGTAAAGGCATGAAAACTCTAGACTAGGGCCTAACTCTTTGTTTAAATGTTTTAGTTTTAAGGGTGGCTCTGTGTCTTAATCGCTTTGGCTGTAAATGGAAAGGCTTAAACTAGATAATATTTAATGTCCCTTCAAGTTCTAACATCCAAAGAGCCTATGACTCTATAGAGAAGAAATTAAATTAGTTCTTAATTGATGCATACTAAAAATATAGTGGTAATACATACATATTTTAATCTAGCAGTTTTACAGTTTTCAAAGAGCTTTCTTATTTACTCTTTTTCAAAGACCCCACTAAGATCCTATTATCACTCCCATTTTACAGAGAAGAAAACTGAGGCTCAGACAGGTTAAGTGTCTTGCTCATGACCACCCAGGCATCAGTGGCAGAGCTGGAGTTCCAGCCCAAGTTCTAACTCTTCCTTCCACATTCTATTTCCAATGTACCTCTTGCACTAGAACCTCAAAGAGAGGACTGAAATATGGTAAGTCCCTGAACACTCTTACGGGTGATGGTCTTGAGTTACTGAGGAGCATTTTCTATATCTTTGGAAACAAGCTGAAATTCTTTCTGCATCAAGGTTGGTGGGGCGGGAGGGTGGGAGGGGCGCATGGGAGAGACCCGTATCTGTCCTTACCTTATTCAGCAGGCAATCTTCTAAGTTTCCTTCCATTAGGGATTTCATGTCTTCTTGGTCTATGCTGAGCAGAACAGCAGAGTCTTGGTTTGTCTCTCAGCAGAGAGAGCACTTGTGCATAGATCTCTCAGTGATATTAGTCTCTGGGTGCTGAATTTCTCTGGGACTGTGTATGTGGACCACAGACTTGCCTTCTCAATTCTTCATTCAAGCTCTCATTTCCAAATTGTGAGCATCCATCTTTCATCTTTTGGGAAATTAAAAAAAAAAAAAAGAATTGAAGGAGAGTTGATGAAACTGCATTTGAGTCCAGCCAAATTTTACTCTATTTAGCTCTGTTGACTGGGGTGTTGACCGAAGGGCAATTTTCCAAGTTGTATTTCCCACTCAAATACTCAAAAGTTCCATTCAAGACGGAAACGCCCTGTAGTTGGCTTCTTCCGAGCTATTTATGCTCTTATCCTGACACTAGATGCACCTTTGAGCTCAGTATCTTATATCTCCTTGTTCTAACCCTGTTGACAGTAAATATCCCTTGCCCTCCAATCCAGAAAACCCCACAGATGGATTTACCTTCTTTACAATAAACAAAACTGCCAAACAACCAGCCTGGCACCCATGATTATGCCTACAAACAAGTGATCAGGACACAACAATTCGCATGTGGAAACACACACACACACACACACAGGCATGGACACACACAGGCACACACACACACACACACACAGGTATGGACACACACAGGCACATACACACACACACAGGTATGGACACACACAGGCACATACACACACACACAGGCATGGACACACACAGGCACATACACACACACACACACATACACACACACACGTATGGACACACACAGGCACACAGAAGCACACCCAGGAATGGCAGGACAGGATCCTTCCGCTCACCTGCTGACCTTTAAATCTCCCTCTTCCCACCTGAAAGCTAGCAGTAAAAATAAAGTCAGTGTAAACAGGCTCCTCAAGAGCCGAGGAAACACTCACATCTGGTTTTGCCAGCAAAACTATGCTGGAAAACAGCTCAGGCAGCAAATTCCCAGTCTGGCTGGCTGGGGCTAGTTTTATTACAGAAAAAAAATTTCACAATGGCTTGATCTCCCTGAAACTGGTAAACATCAGAGTCTGCTATCAGATGATCTAAAGGTATTAGAGCACTTCTGGGAGCCCAGCTCAATTCGGAGCAATGTTGCAAAGGCAAGTGTTTTTCCCAAACCCACCTCTGAGTGCATCCTCTGGGCGCTCAGCAACCACGTTGGGCGCCCGGGCTGCTCTGTGTTCTGTAACCACAGCATTCGCATATCTCCCCGAACTTGGCACCATCTGAAAGCCACATCCACATCAGAGCTCCGGCTGCTCCGTGCTCCACCCACCTCACTAATAATCCCGGGGTTCCGTCCAGCTTCTGCAGCTCCCCTCTGGGAACCAGCAGTCTGATCTGAATATGGTAAAGCCGCCCCTCCTCAGTACTGCCTCGACTTTTCATTTTCTTCCATTTGTAATTTTAAACCTCCTTCTTTTGATAGCAAGTGTTCCCGAATATTTCAGAATCTTCTTCTTTTGCCTTCTCTTACCGCTGGTCATTCGTTCCAAACTACCAGTTTTTCACAGACCAAGAGTCTCTTTCCTCTGTGCTTCTTGCAATTCAGAGTTCTCTTTCCACCTCATTTTCAACTTCACCAAAGTCCTCCTGTTTTTCCCAGGTGTTCTTGCTGTTGTCCTTACTTCTGCTTCACTGTAATCATTAACGCAGGAGTCCCTCTCCTCTGGTGGGGTCTTTCCTACTGTTCTAAGGTTACCCCAGTCGCCCGTCATCAGATGCACAAACTTTCATCCTTTTGTGCCTGTGGTGGCCTTACCTCGATTGCTCCAGTACCGCAGCTGATCAAAATGCTGAAAGTGGCATTCTTCTCCTGTGCTAGGGTCCGGTGACACTTGCCAGTTGTGAGCGGGGAAAGCAATGAACAGGGACAACTGCGGAGCCTGGGAGAAGAAGAAGGAGCACGCGCTCAGGGTGGCTTACTAGAGTCTAATTTTACCTGGATGCTGTACCCAGGAAATGGGGTGTTGTATAGACACGACCAGTTCCCTGCTCCAGGATGTTCCTTATGGGCAAAGGTTCTGAAATACAGGGCAGTCCCACAAACACAGGTACTCTGACAGATTGGCAAAGACAAAATTTCTTTGTAGATAGAGATCTCTGGCTAATTGGATATTGGATCAGCAAATATTTATTGAGCAACAGATTGCCCAAGGCACTCTGCTGTGTCACTGAGAGGGATTAAAAATGGACTCAGATTTCCCTCTTTCCTCGGGAAATAAATATCCTTGTTTCTCATGACTCACACCAAATGCAAGTATGAACATGTAAACCAACTTTAGCTCAACTTCTGTTGTGAGGACCAAGAAGTTATTCTTTAAAGTCAGTTGAACAAAGGCATTCAAACCCTAAACCATCAATATAAGAAGCCCTGGGAAGATCATGTCACCTGGTTCACCAGCAAAGGTGTTTGTTACTGATTTACCTTAGTGGCCAGGATTTTCATACCAAAAAGGGGAAGGGTTGGCTTGATTCAGATCAATCTTAAATATACAAATTTGTTAAACTTCACCAAGATTACAAATTCTGACTTATTCTTTCAAAGATTTCTTTTAATCCCAGGGTGACTCAAATCTGACAGTTCAGAGGACCAAATAGAGATAATTGTTTAAGCTGTGAGGAAGCCCCCAGCAATGAACAGACCCTGTCTGTTCTGTGTCACCTGTGTAGCCCGGTACCTAACACAGGGGTCCCCAACCCCCGGGCCGTGGACCGATACTGGTCTGCGGCCTGTTAGGAACCGGGTCACATGGCAGGAGGTGGGCGGCAGGCGAGCGAGCGAAGCTTCATCTGCTGCTCCCCAAAGCTCTCATTACCACCTGAACCATCACCCTCCCACACCCAGCCCCCAACCCTGTCCGTGGAAAAACTGTCTTCCACGAAACCAGTCCCTGGTGCCAAAAATGTTGGGAAGCACTAACCTAACACATAACTGACCCTCAATGAATAGTGAATATTTCTTTGCCTTAAACATTAAAGCGACCATTCTAATAAATAAAATACTTTGAGATGCATAAAACAGCAAAGTTGACCTGTTACAACATAGTATATACTCAGTGATCCCAGATTGGGCTAGAGGAAAGGAAAGGAAAATATCTAGATCTGTGTCCATCTGGCTGTGTGTCCATCCATTTATATTTCTGTGCACTGGAATGTCATTCTGGATCTTCCTCACTCAAATGGCCCAATGCTGAAAGGCAACCCAGAAACTTATTTTTAACAGAGATCAGTTGTCAAAACTCCTGCTATGGCTTGGATGACACTTTATTTTCAAATTAAATAGTAAGGTATTTCCATGTTCATATCTCTCTACCTGGTAAACAGAGTTATATTTTCATCTGAAACTTTTCCTTAAGTCAGGGTGCAACTCCCTTCCCTCTGTTCAGAGTCATGTGAGGCTGGCATATTTTTCAGTTGACATCACCAGGAAAACACTGGGTGTGAAGAAAGCCTTTAAAGAAGAAGACATTTGGTTTTATTAATTTGTTATACCATGAAACTAACTGGTTCACCTAAGTTTCTGTGATACCTGAGTTAGGAAGTGGCAGGAAATAGGTGATGGGAGGAATTAATTGTTCCTAGTTCTTGGGAACACAGGGGGCTGCTTTCCCTTCCCCCTCTATTGCTCATGACACATGACAAATTTATCTGTTTTTAGTTAAAAGAGACCCAGCCAGAAGATAAAGACATAGAGATCGAGGGAACAAAAAAGAAAGTCCAGAAATAGACTCACACAAACACAGTCATTTGATCTTTGATAAACTGTAAACACATTTCAGTGGAGGGAAGATATTTCTTTTCACTAATGTGTATTGGTAAAATTGGTTGTCCATAGGAAAAGAAATAATAATATATATTATTGATATAAATCTCATACCTTACATAAAGATTTACCTCAAAATGGATCATAGATCTAAATGAGAAACATAAGCTAAATCCTTGTGACCTGAGTTTAGGCCAAGAGTTCTTAGGAATGATAAAAAAAAAAATGGATAACTTAGACTTCATCAAATTTAAGAACTTTTGTTCTTCCAAAGATACTGTCATGAGAATGAAGAGACAAGATATGGACTAGGAGGATATATTTGAAAACTACCTACCCAACAAAGGACTTGTATCCAGAATATGTAAAGAACTCTCAAAATTAGTAATAAGAGAACAACACAACTTAAAAATGAGTAAAGGGCTTGAACAGACACTTCACCAAAGAGGATATAAGGATGGCAAATAAGCATGTGAAAATATAGTCAGTATCATTAGACATTCAGGAAATGCAAATTAAAAACACGAAAAGATACATACTTAATTGAATGGCTAAAATGAAAAAATGGTGCCAATACCTAGTGTTGACAAGTATACGGAGCAACTGAAACTCTCATACATTTCTGATGGGAATGAAAAATGGTTTGGTAATTTCTTATGAAGTTAAATATATATTTGACCCCCAGCAATTCCACTCCTAGGCATATAGCCTAGAGAAATGAAAACCTGGTTTACACAAAAACCTGTACATGAATGTTCACAGCACTGTTATTTGTGACAGTCAAAAGTTGGATGCCACCCCAAAGCTTCTCAACAGGTGAATTGATAAACTGTGGTACATCCATAGCATATAATATACAACAATAAAAAGGAACAAATTATTGATATACACAACTTGGATGAATCTTAAATACATTGTGCTGAGTGAGAGAACACAGAGAACTTTCAGAAAGTTACATATTGTATGATTCCATTAATTTGGCATTCTCAAAAATTCTTGAAAAAAGACCAAGTTTTAGTGGTGGAGAACAGATCAGTGGTTGCCAGGGGTCTTGGGGTGAGGTGAGGGTGTGACTACCAAGGGATAGCATGAAAGAGGTTTTTGGAATGGTCTAACTGTTCTGTGTTCTGATTTTGGTGGGGTTTTCATGAATCTGTATATATGTTAAAATTCATACAACTTTTCACCAGAAAAAAAAAGTGTTACTATAGATCATTTTTAAATAAAGAAACCCAAAGATATTAATTATAATGAAAATACAATCAAGTTACCAGGTCCTCACAGATAATACATTTTGTGTTATTTTATGGGAAAATGTAAGTATTGTGTAATCAAATAGTATCTTTTTTTTTTAATATTATTTTGCATTTTATTTATTTATTTTTTTGTGGTATGTGGGCCTCTCACTGTTGTGGCCTCTCCCGTTGTGGAGCACAGGCTCCGGACGCGCAGGCTCAGCGGCCATGGCTCACGGGCCCAGCCGCTCCATGGCATGTGGGATCTTCCCGAACCGGGGCACGAACCCGTGTCCCCTGCATCGGCAGGCGCACTCTCAACCACTGCGCCACCAGGGAAGCCCCAAATAGTATCTTTTTAAAAAAAATTTTTAGAGCAGTTTTAGGTTCATAGAAAAATTGGGAGGAAGGTAGAGATTTCCCATATACTCCCTCCCCCAAGACATGCATAGCCTCCTCCATTATCAACATCTGCCACCAGAGTGGTACATTTGTCACAGTTGATGAACCTACACTGTCACACCATTATCACCCAAAGTCCTAATTTACATCATGGTTGACTCTTGGTGTTATGCATTTATGGGTTTGGACAAATGTACCCATCATTATAATATTGTACAAAGTATTTTCACTGACCTAAAAATACTCTGTGTTCTGCCAATCATCCCTCCTCCACCCCCATCCCCCACCAACTCCTGGCAACTATTCTTTTTTACAGTCTCCATAGTTTCACCCTTTCCAGAATGTCATATAGTTGGAATCATACAGTAGGTAGCCTTTTTAGATTGGCTTCTTTCACTTAGTAATATGAGTTTAAGTTCCTCCATGTCTCTTCATGGCTTGATAGCTCATTCTTTTTAGTGCTAAATAATATTCCATTGTCTGGATGTACCACAGTTTATTTATCCGTCGCCTACTGAAAGACATCTTGGTTGCTTCCAAGTTTTGGAAATTATGCATAAAGCTGCTACAAACATCCAGTTACAGGTTTTTATGTGGATATAAGTTTTCAGCTCCTTTGGGTAAATACCAAAGAGGGTAATTGCTGGATCGTATGACAAGGATATATTTGGTTTTGTAAGAATCCACCAAACTGTCTTCCAAAGTTGTTGTACCATTTTGTATTTCCACCAGCAATGATCATAATTTCCTGCTGCTCCACATCCTCTCCAGCATTTTGTACTGTCAGTGTTTCAGATTTTACCCATTCTTATAGTTGTGTAGTGGTATCTCATTGTTGTTTTAATTTGCATTTCTCTGATGACTTATAAGGTGGAGCATCTTCTCATATGCTTATCTGCTATCTGTATGGCAGTGGTGAGGTGTCTTGCTGAGATCTTTGGCACATTTTCTAACTGGATTTTTTGTTTTCTTCTTCTTAAATTTTAAGAGTTCTTTGTATATTTTGGGTAATAGTCCTTCATGAGATGTGTCTTTGGCAAATATTTTCTCCCAGTCTGTGGCTTGTCTTCTCATTCACTTGCCATTGTCTCTCATAGATCAGAAGTTTTTACTTTTAATGAAGTCCAGTTTATTCATTAGTTCTTTCATGGATGGTGCCTTTGGTATTTTATGTAAAAAGTCATCACCATACCCAAAGTCATCCAGGTTTTCTCTTAAGTTATATTCTAGGATTTTTACAGTTTTGTTTTTTACATTTAGGCCTATTATCCATTTTGAGTTAGTTTTTGTGAAGAGTGTATGTGTCTAGATTCTTTTTTCTTTTTTTTCTTTTGGCATATGGATGTCCATTGTCCCAGCACTATTTGTTGAAAATATTATGTTTCATTGTATTACCTTTGCTCTTTTGTTAAAGATCAACTGACTATATTTATAGGGGTCTGTTTCTGGGTTCTCCATTCTGTTCATCCATCTATTTGTCTATTCTTTTGTCAATACTACACTGTCTTAATTACTGTAGCTCTGTAGTAAGTCTTGTAGTCAAGTATTGTCAGTCCTCCAACTTTGTTCTCTCCTTCAATATTATGTTAGCTATTCTGTGTCTTTTGCCTT